TGATCAGACACCACTGATCGCTCAGTTCTCATTGCCGCTCTGAGCAGAGAGCAGTGACTGTTAAAATTAATGAAAAAAACCTTTGGCCAATCACCTGCAATGAATAAAATCAATGATAATATTCCTAAATGGAAATTAAACACAAATAAATGATGCTGCTGCTATGTCCCCATATGATCACACCACATATGTATACCAATAAACAATAAAAATCCGGGACAGCGCTACATACACAATAGTATAATCCTCATATGTAAAATTCCTTCTCAATGTCCATATATTTTTGATCAATCCCATCCGGGTGCACAAAACTGATAATTGTGATAACAGCACTTTGTGAGATACCGCCACCATCAGCCTCTCACATGATATGTAAGACCTACTACACTTCGGTCTAATTGCACCTTTAACCTTTTTGTCCCTGGGTTATGGGGATTGTCTTCCTGATGGGATACACTGTTCGCTGGTACAGACCAATGGTTTGCATATGTAGAAAGATAAACTAACATAGTGTATTCAAAATTAACTCAATTTATTGAAAAATATAAAAAAAATTAAAAACACACTCACAAATGTAGTGCACTATCCTGGAGCACCACAGACTAAAACCATAAATGTACACAATTCCTCTACAGAAATGCAATCACTGCTCCCCCCCCCCCCCCCCCCCAGTGCTAAATGGAGGGGATGGAAGCGTCTGGGTCAGGCTCTCTGCAGCTCGCTGAGAGGCGGAGCCAGGTGCTGGTCCAGGCTCCTGGGTGGGTCCTGATCATATGGTAGCAATCTTTCCCCAGCTTGGACCAGCTGAGTGAGGTCAGCCTGCTGTTGGCTGAAAACAGGTCACAGGAGTGCAGAATGAACTGCACTCTTGTGATCAACAGGAGAGGTACAGCCAAAAGAGCTTTGACTATACTTCTCCTTTCACAAATAACAGTTGCACACAGCTTTATAAAGACCTGTCCATCGGACCGAAGCTGAAACTTCATACTGTAGCAGAGCTCCCACCAACAGATCCTATTTGGTTCCTCAGTCTGGTGGATAGCAGGACCCCCTACTGACCACTTTAGTTCTTCCTGCTGATCCCCAGTCTCTACAAGGTAGTGATGTAGGGGTCAGCAGGAGGAACCTTAGCAGCCAGTGGGCACATCTGTTAAGTGTGCCATAAGATCTGTGCCATGAACTGTATTACAGAAAGATATTTCAGCAAACAGGACACTGGACAGGTTAGGATAAGGCCTCTTGCACTGATATATGAGCATAAGACATTCCTGGCAAAAAAACACAAGGATGGGCTGTATAGTAATTGCAAGTATTCATGCGTATTTGCAAGCGTGCACACATGAGCAGGAAGTGTGGCATTGCGTGTATTTGCACGTATTTGTGAGTATACACAAAAAAAATTACTGACCGGCGACTCAGATTTCTGTATTTTTTTTTACTGCTGAATACACAGAGCATGTTTGCTGGTCTATGTGCACAGGCACATTGAAAATAATGGCCAGCATTTAGATCAGTTAAAAAAAAAAAAAACCTGTATGCTTGACAACTGAGCGTTTTCAGGCAGCAGTTTGCAAGAGGCCTAACACTGTCTTTACCACAGTGTAATGCTATCATACTACTTGACAGGGCCACTTTAACCACTTGCCAACCGCGCTATAGCCAAATGACGGCTACAGCGCGGTTGTCCAGTTCTGGGAGGTGTCATATGACGTCCTCCCAGAACGCGTTCTCCTATCCTACGGAAACAGCTGATCACGTGATGTGGTAAAAGGCCAATCACAGCAGCCTTTTTTACCATGTGATCAACTGTGTCCAGTAAATGCAGTTGCGGTTATCAGCTGTACTTTCCTCACGCTATCACAGCGTGAGGAAAGTACTGCCGATAACCTGCAATTGTCAGAGGACGGATCGGCACCGATCATCAGGGCACTGATTATTAGTGCCCTGATGATCAGTGCCCAGCAGTGCCACCCACCTGTGCCCATCAGTGCCCAGAAGTGCCACCCACCTGTGCCTAGCAGTGCCACCCACCTGTGCCCATCAGTGCCACCCATCAGTGCTACCCAGCAGTGCAACCAATCAGTGCCAGTAGTCAGTGCAACTGTCAGGGACCCCAGGCTTTACCGTGGCGCGTGGGTCTGCGCATACGCGGTATGCTGGGGTGCACTAGTGTGCGGGCACTAGGACCTGGGCGCCCGCGACGGCAACGGTGGTCACGCATGCGCACTTGTGATCGCGAATGATCAAAATCGTTCGCGATCGGCACCAATGAAAGCGCAGGGCGCCCTATTTAAACAGGCTCTGACTGTGCTCAAATTGCCGTATGGTCTTTTCCTGTATCCTGTGTTCCTGAGAGATTGCCTTGTTGCCGACCCTGCCTGACCCTGATTCGTTGACTATCTCCTGCTCTGATCCCTGGCTTGTCTGACCATTCTCCTGTTTAATCCTGTACGTTTGATCTCCTGTTATTGAACCTGGCCTGTGACCCGTTTATCCTTCTGCCTGCCGCTTGTACCGTCCTGCCTCCACTGTTACTGACCTGGCCTGTCTGACTTCCCTCACTCCGCCTTCTCACATCAGACTCTCACCTGCTACGTACCACCGGCAAGTGCTTCTACCACAGCTGGTTGCACCCAGGGGCCGCGACCTGGTTTCGGCCTGCTCCAAGTCCATCCCCACCATCAGGGGCTCTGGTGAACAAGCAGGTCGAGGCTTAGATTCCGCGCCCTGGGGAATCCCGGTCTGTGGAACGCTAGAGGCTACCACCGGTTGGTCCTTAACAGCAACCCATCAGTGCTGCTCATCAGTGCCACCTATCAGTGCCCATCAATGCCGCTATCAGTGCCGCCTATCAGTGCCCATCAGTGCTGCTGCTATCCGTGCCACCTTATCAGTGCCGCCCATCAGTGTTGCCTATCAGTGCCCATCAATGCAGCCTATCAGTGCAGTCTCATCAACGCACATCAGTGAAGGAGAAAAATTACCTGTTTGCTAAATTTTATAATAGAAACAAAGTAGAAAAAAGTTTTTTTCCAATTTTTTGCTTTTTTTTTGTTTATAGCGCAAAAAATAAAATGCCCAGCGGCAATTAAATACCATCAAAAGAAAGCTCTATTTGTGTGAACAAAAGGTTAAAAACTTCATATGGGTAAAGTGCTGCATGACCGCGCAATTGTCATTGTGAGAGCTCTGAAAGCTGAAAAATGGCCTGGTCAGGAAGGGGGTGTAAGTTCCCGGTAGGCAAGTGGTTAAAGAGTATCTAAACCCAAGAACAAAAATGCATATGCTTTCTCTTTTTATATAGCTTTGCACCTTTTTTCACCTAACGATCCTGCCAGTAACACACTTTCCTGTCATATAATGATAACACTCACTTTATTCTGTCAATGAGCAGTGTTGTCACCCTAGGGCAGGGCTACAGAACACCACCTACCCCGGTCCTCTTTTCTGTAATATGTGTGTGTGCGTGGGGGGGGGTTCTGTACTGCACAGAGAGAACTGGGAACTCTGCTAACTGATAACAGTTAGAGGCAGAAAGCACGTGATGTTAGCTGTTCTCAGGATTTCTAGCAGAATCAACAGTTAATTTTTTTTCACCTATTGAACAGAGTTAACAAAAGGCTATCAATGGTATAATTAACAGTCAAAATAAAAGTTCATCCTTATGCTGTTATAGAGGTTGTCATTGGTTAAATCCTTCTGGAAATATTAGTTGCTTGGCTAAATGTTAAGCTGATTATACACCATGCAATTTGATTGTACATCCTCCAACAACTTTGTAGTGTATGTGCCTGTGTCATTGGATACAAATTGTAGGGATCGTGTAGGTTTGTCATTTTTTTTAATCATAGCTTAAGTCAATTTAAAGGAGATTACAAAATCAGAATTTAATATGTACAGTCACCCTTAGTTGTTTGGCTTCAATACTTTTAGTCGCTGACCTGGAACAACCATGAAACAGTGAAATCTGAGTGAAGTCAGAAATCCTGATCTGCCACGCAATTAGCATTTTCAGAGGTGAAGGCTAGTAATGCCAGCTACATGTTTTTCTTAAAACACCGTGGCTAAATGGTCAGCACTTCTCTCTGGCAATACTGACCTGTTGGTTCGAATCCCAACCACAGCACCACCTGCCTGACGTTTGCATGTTCTCCCTGTGCCTGTGTGGGTTTCCTCTTGGTACTCCGGTTTCCTCCCACACTCCATACACATGCTGGTAGGTTAATTGGCTCCTGTCTAAATTGGCTCTAGTATGTGTATGTATGAATGTAAGTTGGGGACCTTAGATCGTACACCCCTTGATTGTTAGGGACTGATGTGAATGCACAATATATATGTAAAGTGCTGCGTAAATTGATGGCGCTATATATGTACCTGTAATAAATAAACTTAGTAGAGTTGACCATTAAATAAGCCAAAAGCGCAAATAAAAACGGCTCCACATTACTGCTGGTGTGTTTGAAGAAAAAAGTTGAATACTTTTTGGGCTCTCTATCTTAAATGTATTTTACCTTTAAAGTGGAACTAAACCCCCAGAAATACTTATCTCCACCTTATAGCCATGTGTCAGCTGCTCTCATCTTCTCTCCGGCCACTGCTGGATACCAGGTTTTCTGCCTCTTGATTGGCTGGTGGGGGAATGACATCATGAGCATATGAGCCAGTCATTCCAGCACAGCCAGAGTGTGTCGGGAATGCACCCAGAGCAGGCAGGTAAGTGTTGTTCCAAAAGAGACTTAACATGTCTCTTATACCACAAGGAGCTCCCTGCTCATTATGGTAGAAGAACGCCTAATAAAAATAATTAAAGATGATGTGCATTTTTATCACATGTAGAATGATCTGGTTTACAGTACATGAGCTTTTTAAAACTGCTGCCACAACAATCTGCAGTCATGGAGGATGTCACAATGTGGCCATGGAGGTATTGAATTGAAATGCTGCTTTCTATTATTATACACTTTTATTATATTAAAGTATTATATTTTCTAATTTTATAGGAGCATATGATCCAAAATGAGGTGTCCATTCTAAGAAGAGTGAAACATCCCAATATTGTGCTGCTCATTGAGGAGATGGATATGCCAAATGAGCTGTATCTGGTAATGGAACTAGTAAAGGTCAGTAGATAACAAGTGTTTTCTGTGCTGCGTGTACAAATGACTGATTCATATTAGTGTAGGTCACTTGGAGCTGGTGTCATAGCTTGTTTGCTCGCTCATGCCTGTCTGTATATGTTTCTCAGTTATTACACCATAGTCACTCATTTCACACAGGCCGGATCTGTTTTTCTCAGCAGGCGAACCCATCCACTGATCCCCTGCTGAGCTGAGTGGAGCTGCACTGATGTGCACTGATCTATGTGTATTGCAGTGCCATTTATTTTGAATCATACCCCAGCTTACTGTAGCAGGCAACGCACCTGCACTATAGCAGATCATAATGTGCATTGTGGTGTTATGCAATAAAAAATCATGCCCAATTTTTTTATGTGTTATGCTGCACAGAAAATTTGTTAAAATTCTACAACATTGTGGTTGCTTAAAGCAGAGTTCCACCAGGAAAAAAAAAATAAAAAGCAGCTACAAAAACTGTAGCTGCTGACTTTTAAAATACAGCCACTTACCTTTCCCTTGGTCCATTGGTGTCCTGACAACCGCTGGTTTCACCGGCCGTCTTTTCTCCCTGGCGCCGGCATCTTCAGTGTGGGCACCCGGCTGTGACAGTTTGTGGCTTCACAGCCGGGTGCCCACTACTTAAGAAGCGCTGAGCTTTGTGAATGGCCCCGTAGTCTTCTGGGACCTGTCACGTGTCCCAGAAGACTACGGGGAGGGATGGTAGGAGGACAACGTCCGATTCCGATCACCTAGGTGATCGGACCAGAAGTGGGAGCGGGTACTTGTCAAGTTTGGGTACCCGCACCCCACAGGTGCCAATCCTTAATGGGGAGCGATGGACAAAGGCTTAAAGCGGAACTTCCCCTTTTGGGTGAAGCTCCACTTTAAACAGCAAATGTTACCCAAAGTTCATACGATATTTGGTGGGACCCTAGGATAAATGTGGAGCATTTTTAGTAATTAGTTGACTACATTTAAGATTACTTCTAGTGATCTAGTGTTGGCTGCAATCAGTCAGCAATAGATCACTAAAGCAGTGATCTACTGCTGCAGAGAGAGGCTGGATAAAGCTGCTTCCACTGTACTGGAGCCTTCATTCTATCAGCAAGTGCCATACGATCATTTCACTTCTGATGTAAACAAAGTGTGTAAGTTGTTCCACCCTATGTTTACAATGCTTGCTGTTAGTGTTTCTATGGAGCGATCGGTAGCAGAAGCAAAAGTCCAAGAACTGATTGAGTAGCTAGGCTTAATGCCTAGTCTCAGTGACAGCCAGGAGTTCCATTGCCAAAGCCATCTGGAGCCACTGTTGCTGAGCATGCATCCTGCTGTGCTGCAGACCTTATTGAAGGTCTGGAGCTTGAATTTATTACATTTAGGATTTAGGCATGGTTCACACTAGTCCGATTTCTGATGCAACTTGGGTTGCTCAGAATTGCATGACAATGGGATTAGTATTGTGTTCAATGGTGGCTGTTCACATCAATGCAGCACAACTGCAATGCGAGTTTGGGGAAAAGTCCTGTGCTACTTTGGTGTGATGCAGTGCGATTTTGAGACCCATAGACTTGAATGGAGACATGTCAAAAACACATATACAAGTGTTTTTATTTCACAAAGGATTTATTAAAGTTTTCAAAAAATTAAGTGAGCAATTAGTTGCACAACATGGAAAAATTCCCATTATCGCAGCAAAGTACACTAGCGGAAATTAGCTACATAGTACAACAAATTAGCAGCAGCGGTACTGACTATAACAGAAGGATCAGGTGTAGTGCACTGGCTAACTGGGGTTGCTCTTCACTGGCAATACTCGGCGCCTCAAAGAGAGGGAAAAGGGGAGGATCCAGCGGCGATTGTGGAAGCTCCAAAACAAAAAGAGAAGAAGGAGAAAAAATGTGGGATAGATGCGACTAAGGTCTGCAAAGAGGACCAGGAGAAGAACAATAGACTGAGAAAGGAGTAGAGGAAATGTGCCTGGGTGTCAAGGTCCTACCTTTTCCCAGAGACTGTGCGGCTTCATGTACTGGCGTCCATCTTGGGTTTCTGCAGAGCATGGTGGGAGCCTTTTATGCCTTCAGGTCTCTGAGGTCCATCCCCCAGAGGGGTGTGGCTGAGTACATATAAGCCTGTGATCCGCACATGCTCTTTGCACTTGTGTCTTGTGTCTTGGTCTTGCTGCAGCTCTGTGTATACTCTCGTGACTCTTCTGGTATTCTGACTCAGCTTGTGACTAGACCATTCTCTGTGTTTTCCTTTTATCTGACCTTCCGTTGCTGAACCCGGCCCGTGACCTGTGATTCTTGTCTACTGTTCTGTACCGTTTTGTCCTGTTGTTGTCGACACGGCCTGCCTGACTACGCTATTGTCATTCCTACCTGCTACACGCCATTGGCGACGGCCATTACCGCAGATGGGGTGTCCCGGGGGCCGCGACCTGGTTCCTGGCTGCGTCAAGTCCATCCCCACCATCAGGGGCCCTGGTTAAGGGCAGCCTGGGACTTAGACTCCACGCCCTGAGGGACTTCGGTCTGTTGGTGGTGGTTGTCGTCAGTCAGTGCGTTACCCTGCCACTAGGCCTACCTGTCCGTTCCACAGCCCTGCCCTGACATTACACAAGTGCCATGAATCCTGACGGTGCAGGTATGCCTTCGCTTCCAATGTTGGTCGCCAGACTGGATCAGCATGATCTCATGTTGGATCAGTTCGCTCAGGCATTGCAAACTCTGCTTGCACGCACCGCGCACCAGTCTGACTTCTCCACTTGGGGAGCAGATTTTGGCGGCTCAAACTGACGCTCCTCCCGAGAGACCGGAGGGTAGATGTTTTGTACCCGAGGGGTTGCGCACCCATCTGCTGCGTACCTACCATAACTCCAAAACTGCCGGGCATCCGGGGAGGAACCAGTTGGCTTGGGTCGCCTCTCGATTATTCTGGTGGCCAACTCTCCGTGCCGACATCACCTCTTATGTAGCGGCATGTTCGATCTGTGCCCAGAATAAATCTCCACGGCATCTTCCAATGGGTCTTCTGCAACCCATTCCCAATGGGGAGCGTCCTTGGTCACACCTGGGCATGGACTTTATTGTAGATCTCCTTGTGTCTCGGGGTCATACGGCCATTCTCATGGTCGTCGATCGTTTTTCCAAAATGTACCATTGCATTCCACTCAAGAAATTACCAACAGCGCAAGAACTGGCCACGTTTTTTTCTAGGGAGATTTTTCGCCTGCATGGGTTGCCCAAGGTGATTGTCTCGGACCGTGGGAGTCAGTTCGTGTCCAGGTTCTGGCGCGCCTTCTGCTCCCAGTTGGGCATTAGGCTCTCCTTCTCTTCAGCCTACCACCCGCAGTCCAATGGGGCTGCGGAGTGTTCCAACCAGGCCTTGGAACAATTCCTTCGTTGTTATATCTCGGACCATCAGGACAATTGGGCCGATCATCTGCCTTGGGCAGAGTTTGCCAGGAACTCAGCTGTCAACTCCTCCTCCAGGATGTCTCCCTTCATGGCCAACTATGGGTTCCAACCTGCGGTATTACCTGAGAGGTTCTCACCACAGGACATTGGGTTTCTTGGGTTTCTGCAGAGCATGGTGGGAGCCTTTTATGCCTTCAGGTCTCTGAGGTCCATCCCCCAGAGGGGTGTGGCTGAGTACATATAAGCCTGTGATCCGCACATGCTCTTTGCACTTGTGTCTTGTGTCTTGGTGTTGCTACAGCTCTGTGTATACTCTCGTGACTCTTCTGGTATTCTGACTCAGCTTGTGACTAGACCATTCTCTGTGTTTTCCTTTGATCTGACCTTCCGTTGCTGAACCCGGCCGTGACCTGTGATTCTTGTCTACTGTTCTGTACCGTTTTGTCCCGTTGTTGTCAACCCGGCCTGCCTGACTACGTTATTGTCATTCCTACCAGCTACACGCCATTGGCGGTGGCCATTACCGCAGCCGGAGTGTCTCGGGGGCCGCGACCTGGTTCCTGGCTGCGTCAAGTTCATCCCCACCATCAGGGGCCCTGTTTAAGGGCAGCCTGGGACTTAGACTCCACGCCCTGAGGGACTTCGGTTTGTTGGTGGTGGTTGTCGTCAGTCAGTGCGTTACCCTGCCACTAGGCCTACCTGTCCGTTCCACAGCCCTGCCCTGACACTGGGAAAAAAGGGAGAATGAAAAAAAAAAAATGGGAGGGGTCCAACCTTGTGGTCCAACAAAACGTCTATAGCTGGGAGTAGTTACATGGAAAGCAGGTGCAGTCTAGGTTCACCTGAGCATTATATACAATCCAAAGATACCAAATTTTAAGGAACTTGATGTGTTCAATTTTTTCTTGGCTGAAATATTCTCCTCCTGGCCATAGTAGTAGTAGTAGTAGTAGTAGTAGTAGCAGCATACAAAACTTATCACAGTAGTGTGAACCAGGCCGTAATAAATTAAATCCTGGCGGGCCACTTGTTGGGGGTTTAGACAGTTTGTATTTTGTTATATTTTATAACAACATACTTAAATATTACTAGATTTAATGCTGGGATTATGTTTGAGGTCACACACACACTTATGTGCAGACCTTGTAACCTTGGTTCACATGCAATTTCATGCACGATAATGCGCTGTAAAACTGTACTAAACTTGGGTTTCCATGGTGGTCTGTAACCTTGTTGGGAAAATGCCCCGTCTTCCATTGACAGCGGTCATCAGAACAGAGAGTCAGGAGAAAGAGGACATCTGTTCAGTCAAAACCTTTCTTTTCTTTTGGAAAAATTCTTCTCTTCCTTTCTTCTTTCAAAGTCATTAATAAAATCATAAATGAGGTTCTAACTATTCTGTACTATAGCCAAAAAGTTGCCCAGGTGACACTTAGACATTATTATAAACAACAAAAATTGAAGAAAAGTATTTTGTCATTCGGAGTAGCCAATCAGATTCTACAAATACGCATAAAATTACACATTCAAATACAGTATAGTCACAAACAGATATGAAGTATCAGGTATTATGCTCTGATTGTAGCATCACTGTTATTTATAGTTGCTTTCATCAAGTTAATGATGAAACATCTATTAATGGAACTCAAAGATTACCAGCCAAAAGCCATTTACAATTTACTATCCACCTAACTGTATTTAACAATTTACAGTCCATCAATGTTAAAGCGCAAACTTTGCATATGAATCACATTTCATCAGTCAATATTCTTGTTCAGAAAATGAATACATGTGTTTTACCCCATTTTTCACTTTGCTTTATTGACAGTGCATTCATTTTATATCTTACAGCAGCTTGTCTAAAAAAATGACAGTTGTTCCCTGCACTATTCTATGTGTAATTGAGTGACAAACACTGCCATCTAGTGGATTCCCATTGCATTACATGTTCTCTCTGAACAAGCAGGTGGTACTAATCATTGCTAGGCAATCTGGGACTAATTTCCAATGATGCTTCCATCTTCCTAGCACTATCCATATCACAGTATTCACTAAATAATATTCATTAACCTATTTCATTTTTCATCCTCGTAAGAGTTCCCAGCCATATCAGATATTAGCAGAGCTTTGCAGGTTGACAGAGATCCTACTTATGCCTCAGGACCTAATCAGGCACAGATCCATGTGATATCATGTTACCAGCCATACACTTTCATCCTGCCTATTGCCAATGATCTCAAACATATCCGTTATGTCCCTCCCTTTCTGTTCACATCTATCACACCCTGGACTTACACATAAAACAGTGCTCGTATATCAATGCATGCAAAGCTTTGTCTTTTGAAGTGAAAGTTACTGGTCCTGGAATTAGGGGATCATTTAAATTCCTTTTGGAAAAACTAATGGTTACTGTTATGTGGCAAGCTGACATTCTAGATGCAAGCGGAGAAAGGCTGTATTCCATATGTGGAGATCTATACTCTATACTCGCTGCAGATATATCTGCCTTAAAGACCAGCCGTGCTAAGCCATTTTTATGTTGTGACCTTAAATACAAATATAATATTTTTCTGAGAGCCAGGTTTTCTATTGCCACAATCTGAGGACTCCAAAATGGAGACTCATAGGTTGAATCCATAGTACAGTGGTTTCCAAACTGTGGCCCTTTGCTTGCTTTTATCTGGCCCTTGGGGCACTATTTCATCTACTGATACAAACAATAGAGTATAATTCCCCCCATTTACACCAATAAAGGGAGCACAACTCCTGCCAATGACACCAACGATGGGGCACAATTCCTCCCAGTGACACAAATGATAGGGTCCAGTTACATCAATGATGGGGCACAATTCCTCCCAGTGACACAAATGATAGGGTCCAGTTACATCAATGATGGGGCACAATTCCTCCCAGTGACACAAATGATAGGGTCCAGTTACATCAATGATGGGGCACAATTCCTCCCAGTGACACAAATGATAGGGTCCAGTTACATCAATGATGGGGCACAATTCCTCCCAGTGACACAAATGATAGGGTCCAGTTACATCAATGATGGGGCACAATTCCTCCCAGTGACACAAATGATAGGGTCCAATTACATCAATGATGGGACACAATTCCTCCCAGTGACACAAATGATAGGGTCCAGTTACATCAATGATGGGGCACAATTCCTCCCAGTGACACAAATGATAGGGTCCAATTACATCAATGATGGGACACAATTCCTCCCAGTGACACAAATGATACAGTCCAATGACACCAATGAAGGGGGCACAACTCCTTCCAATGACACCAATGATGGGACACAATTCCTCCCAGTGACACAATTGATAGGGTCCAATAACATCAATGATGGGGCACAATTCCTCCCAGTAACACAAATGATACAGTTCAATGATATCAATGATGGGGCACAATTCCTCCCAGTGACACAAATGATACAGTCCAATGACATCCAATGTCCAATGACACTGACACCAAACAATGAGTCATTATTTTTTTTACACTGCCGTCGGGACCTTTTCTACTCCCACTGGCCGCAGTCAAGCCCTCATAAAGTCTGAAGGACAGTAAATTGGCCCTTTTTTAGAAGGTTTGGAGACCCCTGCCATAGTATATCCTGTATAATAATAGTAGATACTCCTTAGATACTCCTTAGATAGGCCTTTAAGTTATACTACTATCAGGGGCGGACTGACCATTCTGGTACTTGGGCACTGCCCAAGGGCCCGGGGTAAGTAGGGGGCCCCATGAGATGCCCCTGGTACCTTTCATAGGCTTTTTTGGGTGTGGTTTGAGTGTGGGCGAGGACACAGGGGCCCCATGATCCCCTATCGCCCGGGGCCCCATGAGTTGTCACTCCGCCCCTGACTACTATACTACAGACTCAGACTTGAGTTTGAGAACAGAGCTCTCTGCAGACAGACAAATGCAGTCATTGGTTTATATTCGACTCACCATAAAGCTTAGTTTCTATTCATCTTTCACAGCAACTGTCTGTGTTAACTTACAGCAACCAGTCATAGTCATCAAGTATATTAGTTGGATCAATAGATCGATAGACCTCCTTCAAGGCCTAACAGAAATGCTGCTGAGGGACTTGACCTGTAGATAAAATCTGGATGATTGTATAATAAAAAAGATCTTAATCTGTTTCAGCAACTGGTAGGTGCTGTATTTATCAGTTGCTGAAAGGAATCAAGATCTTTTTATTATTCAATCATCCAGATTTTATCTACAGCTGGAGTGGTGAAGGATACCGAGGAACAGTCCAACGCTGAAGCCTAGGGTGATGGAGAGTTCCGGCTGCCAGGGAAATGGGGGATCAGGTAAGTAAAACTGCTTTTTCGGATACCATAGATGTAGACCAGCATTCACCCTTGCAGTGCAGGGGCAGTCCCACTACAAGGGAGAATTTTTGTTTTCCCCAGAGACAGGCTTTAGGTTAAGCCCTGTATTACAGCCACAGTGATGCAATTCTTCTTCAAAGCTTACAACAGAAGTAGGGAAGTATTTTAATCCTGTTTTCAGCACTTTGCTGTTTCCTATCTTCCTTCTCTTTGTTAACATTAGAAGGTTGGCAGGCTGTCGTCTCACTGCTGGGAGAGGAAAGGTGAGCGACAGAGAAAAAGAGAAAGTAAATATGAGAAGCTTCAGCTGCAAACTTTGAGGATGAATTACTCCAGAGTGTCTGCAGCTATAAAGGTTAGTGAGTTAGTTTTAAAGTGGCTGTAAAGGCCCAAGGTTTTTTAACCATCATGCATTCTATGCATGAAGGTAAAAAACTTTCTGTGTGCAGCAGCTCCTCTAATACTTACCTGAGTACCTGAGTCAATTCAGCAATGTGCACAAGAGCCTCAGCTGTCCTGGGTTTCTCCCTCCTCATTGGCTGAAACAGCAGTAGGAGCCATTATCTCCCACGACTGTCAATCACAGCCAGTGAGTCAACAAGGAGAGGGTGGGGGGTCAGTTTGTGTGTGAATGGATACGCAGAGCAGGGGCTTGGAAGCGAGCCAGCTCGGGTGCCCCCGTAGCAAGCTGCTTTCTCTGGGGGCATTTGGAAGGAGGGAGGGGCCAGGAGCGCCAGCGGTGGACCCAAGAAGAGAAGGATTGGGGCTGCTCTGTGTAAAACCACTGCACACAGCAGGTAAGTATAAACATGTTTGTAATTTAAAAAAAAGTCTGCCTTTACAATCACTTTAACATTTATTTTCTGTTTTGAAATGATATATAAAAAAAAAAATCAAATGTCCAAAGCCTGGTTGCTGTAATGTGGTATAGACAGTTTATGACACAAGAGATGTTGATGAAAGATAATAAATGATTGTTTTAGAATACAATCTCTATAAACTGTTGTCAATCATTTTTAGCCTATGAAAAGCCCCAAGACCTCCTAATTGCATGAAATTGTATCAATGTTCCTAACACTTGATGCTCATTGCCCACAGCATGGTATTCCATTATTCTTGTTTAAATCATCCAGGGTACTCTGCTATTTCATACCAAATTCACTTCTGCCAAGTAGTATAAGGAATTGACAACCTTCTTGTTTGGCTAAAGCTCATAGGGGCCAACAAAAATACACACCTCTGCCTGCTAAATGTGTACCATTGTGAATATGTAAAAAAAACTTTTGATACAGACTCTTATTTATGGGTCCTCATGTACTTTCCGACATTGTTATGGTGCTTGTACTGTGTTTTTGATGAATTTTCTATCCTTTCATTGCCAGGGAGGGGATCTGTTTGATGCTATCACCTCTACTAACAAATACACGGAACGAGACGCTAATGGGATGTTGTATAACCTAATGAGTGCCATCAAATACCTGCACAGCTTGAACATCGTTCATAGAGATATCAAACCCGAAAACCTGCTGGTAAGAGCTGATGTTTTATGTCTTTTTTTCCAAAAAAGTAAAAACCGTCTATATTGCTTGTAAATATTTCATGATTAGAAGATAATGTATATAATAGCTCTACCCATAATGGCAACAATGTTCTTAGCTCACCTCCTGACCTCCAATTATAATAATTATAGCTTATTAAACAGCAGAATATTCTGCAGCATGCCATATAAATAAATAATGGGCTAAAAATTACTGACTGTAAATGAAATATGCAGTAAAACAGGAAAATAGAGCCCGACCAGGAAGAGATTACAATTTAACAGCTGAGGGAACACTAGATACAGTTGGCATGAAAGATGGCAATGACACACAAGGATTGATAAGGGCATGTCATTTTATATAGGTGGGCTTTCAGGCAAGGTTGAAGCAATATAAAGTATATTTAAATCATAAGTCCTCATGCACACGGGACGTTTTGATAACGCTGGTAACATTAGCTGTGTAAACTCACAGTAAAAACATGAGTTTTTCAGCTTTTTTTTTGTGTTCTTGCATTCGCGTTTAGTGGCGTTTTGCCACGTTTAGCTGCCTTTTTCCGCATTTGCGTTTTTAGCGTTTTTTTTTTTCTACAATTAAAAAAATTTTGGTTGAAAAAAATGTCCAAAAATGCCGGTTTGCAGCGTTTTTTACTGCATTTTGCTGCGTTTACTAGCTGTAGAAAAAAACATCAAAAGCCAACAACAGCAGCTGTAAAAACATCAAGTGTGCATAACCAGGGGCGGACTGACCATTTGGAAACTCGGGCACTGCCCGAGGGCCCGGGGTCAGTAGGGTGCCCCATGAGATGCCCCTGGTACCTTTTTCATAGGCTTTTTTGAGTTTGGGCAATGACACAGGGGCCCCATGATCCCCTATTGCCCGGGGGCCCCATGAGTTGTCAGTCTGCCCCGATAAGGACGTAAGATGAACATCTCTATTTGCTCCTTGTTTGTTTACTAAATGTACTATAGATAGAGTGCTTGTTATATCTGTTCAATAAGTGTAATACAATTGCTCTTGATCCTGCCATAATTAAAGTGAAGTTCCTGTGTACCTGGCAGTGTTATCAGCTTTGCCTAGTTCCATGCACTACAGAGCGCCTCCTCCTTTGTTATTGGGAATAAGACAGTGGGAGGTGTTTTGTAGTCTTGCCCTAGGGTAACAATAATGATCTTCAATAGATAAGTAAAGTGAATGAGTGTTGGCACCCTAAAAAAGGACATGTGTTACTAACAGGATCACCAGGGGAAAATGCATTTTATGAAGCCTGAAAAAAGAAAAGTAATGCAGCCACCACATCTATAGACAGATAAGATGCATTGTATAAAATGTTTGTTCCTGCATTTAAATACACATTAACAGAAACATGTGAAGACTTGGAAAAGGGATCCTGTGATGTTCACCTATAATGCCTGTTGCTTTATGGAAAGGACACAATTTTCACCATACCAAGGTGTGCTGGTGAAGATCCTTATTCCATGATGATTGTATGGTGGCTTCTTCCTCCAATTCACTACAGCACTCTACATGAATTGTGGGCAAGGAGTGCGACGGATATAATACAACTTCTCTAGGAATTCGGCAGCTGCCGTTGCTGACTTGTGATTTGAAGTTGCAGGTTTCAGGGCTTTTGGTTGTGATCTTGGCTTTGCTACCAAGTAAATCATTGAATGGTAACAAGCAAGCAAGTGTGGGAGACTTTCAGGCTCCACTCACACCTATGCAGTTTGCTTTTTGTCTGGTTTGCAGTGCTTTTCGCAGTTCATTTTGAGTTTTTCTACACACGTTTTTGGCGCGATTTTGCATTTGTTCAGCTCTTTTTTTTTTTTTAAAGTGGGATTTTTTTTTTGCTGGGCAGAATAAAAATCCAAAACTCAAACTGCGGCAAAACCGCACTGCCATGCATTTCAGCAGATTATCCATTGAACTCTATTGTAGGAAAAAATTTGCTTTTAAAAAAAGTCCCTGGCCCTTTCCAAAAATGCAGCAGCTCAAAAAAGCATAGATGTGAACATGTTACATATAGTTAAATAGGAAACCATGTTAAATGGACTGTAGTGGGTTTCTGCAAAAAGCACTAAAAAACGCATTGGTGTGAACGGAGCCTCAGACTTCACTGGCTATTTGCTTGTTCTAGGTCAGTGAGCCATGATCATAATGACAGACCCAGTGCCTACACCTTTGAGGTCCCATGCACACTTGATGTTTTTTCATTTATTACAGATACTTGTGTAGCAGGGACAGTTTACGCAGAACTTTACATATGATAGGGGGGGATTTACTAAATCTGGTGCAGCTGTGCATAGAAACCAATCAGAATTCAAGTAAGCTTTGACAATAAAACGATGCTGACACTCCTAACAACCAATCACTGCAGAAGAGATGTGGAAATTTGTGCTCAGGACTAGATAGAACTGTCACTCAATCTGGGTACAGACCCTTGTCCAGACCCTTGTCCACCATATAATCTATAGTTTCCCCCCCTTTGCTCCTCCCTCAGCTGTTACATGAAAGTTTATGCAGAGAATTGAGGGGTGGTGGAGCTAGGCCAGCACAGACAGTAATTAAACACTTCTAACAGAGGAGAGGAATAGGAAGGAAAGACAGGGCTGTTCCAGGGAATATACATTTTCATTGTCAATTCCCTAGCAAGTGCAGGGGCAATTTGCAAGTAAAAAAAATACAGAAAGGAAAAATGCTACAAGCAAGCATTTAATACACTTGGGTTTTTTTGTGCTTTATCTGAAATTTAGGGTTTAGTTAGCAAATACACAGACTGAAGCTGAGTATGTTTTAATATACTTAAAAGTGATTCTAAAGCCTTGGTTTTTTTTTACCTTAATGCAGGGAATGCACCTCAATATTTCTCTCAACCCCCTCCCCCCCAAATACTTAATGTAGCCCGTCAGTGATCCAGCATTGTGCACGGGTACAGTCCCCTCTCTTCCTCTTCTCACAGGGAGCCATTGGTCCCTGCTGCTGTCAGTCCAAACCTGTAAGCAGGGATGGGGCCGAGCTGCACTGTCTATAGAGTGGCACGCAGTGTGTCTTGTGAGCCAGGAATCGGCTTGCTATGGGGGCACACTGAGAAGAATAGGAGGATCAGGGATGCTCTGTACAAACCCTCTGCACAGAGCATGTAAGTATAACATGTTTATTATTTTAGGAGAGTGTTTACAATCACTGTAGCCTTCCTGGTGGTATTCCCGAGTGTAAAGTTTTAGTACCACAAGCGTTAACCCCGAGCTATACTCGGGCTTACTATGCAGCGCTGTTCCGGGATCTGTTCTTTACTTACTTCGTCCTGCGCTTCCGTGATGTCCCTCCTGCAGTGTCCCCGGTAGCCTGTCATCTGGGATGGAACGGCGGGAAATTTGAAAATGACAAAAAGTGACATTCACTAAATACACTAAAATCACATAATAAAACATTACTGTATCAAACCATTTTCACATACATTTTGTCCCGAGTGCTTTGTCCTGTGCCCTGCCTGCATTTTTACTGTTCTTTCTGCCTGGAAACTGAGAAACGTCCATGGTGTCTAAAAAGCGTCTCTTTAAGTCAAAAGTGGTTTTAGACCAGCTAGAGAACAGCGATAGTAAATTAGAACTACTTGCAGAATCGAGTGATAATGATTCGTGGGGAATTCGTCATCAGACACTGAAAACGATTTTGCGACTTGCCCAGTGATGTGCGAACTTGGCGCTCTATTTCAAATTTCAGTGTTTTTGGTTTGATTATATTATTGAATTAAATTTATTATTATTATATTATTATTTTTTTATGATTATTTGTTAAATTATAATTTATAATTTCGTGTTTCAAATTGTAACATATGTTTACTAGACTCTTGTTTGGACAGATTTCAGTGAGTTATTCCTAAAAATTACAGGCCTACATTAAAAAAAATACATATTTCCATGCAAAAAAAATGTACCGCTTTGAGCACAGAAATATGGACATAATCAGACCACTAGGGAGGTTAAAGATGAAGTTTAGTTTTTCTTTTTTTGGTCATTGGTGCTGTATCCCCCCCCAAAAAAAACAACTAAACTTTGGCCTTAAACAAGGTGCAAGTATGAAGTGGCCAATAGCCATTTACAGTTTGTAGCATTTTTGATATTCCTTTTTTGTAGGCCATTAAGAAATTCATTACCATGCAACAGCTCATAGAAACCAGTCAGAAATAGTATTCCATTGTTTGCAGTGCTCTGACATGCTACTGAGGCTGGTGCAGCTCACTACATTTGGAACATTGCATGTCACACTTTTTCAGTTTTTCAGATTTTCATTCTTTGAGGGAAAGGACCCTAAAAAAAAGAAGAAAAAAAAAAGGAAACTTTAGTAGCTTACCCATAAAGCAGCGCAGGGATTCTGGCTCGTGCAGAAATGATTTTCCTGTGAACCGTCAAGCTGGCACACAGCACAGCTGCTGTCTAGGAAGACAGAAAGTTGGACATGACATGGACTTGGACAAGGTGACTTATAATGATGCCAGTATTCATTAATGCCAGCTTAACATTTAGTATGATAATAGTGTTCTCATTAGTGGCTGCAATTTATAACGGTCTTCTCATTTATAACATTGAAATATATATTTAATTATAGATTGGAGGTTTTTATGGCAAAGCTGTAGCAGTCATGTCAGCAGCCATTAATAGCAAGAGACACAATAGGAACAGCACTCACCAAGGAGCTTGGCTGATCCATTAGTTGTGAAGCAACCTTTCCTCGGAGTGAGACTTTGACAGATTCAGCCTGCAGCATGTTTTCACTTAGAAGAGTGCCTGGGACAAAAATTATCCATCAGCAATGAATTCAGATTGTTCTTAAAATGGAATACTCACAGAGCGCATAAAACGGAACAAACTGTCCATTTAAAGGACCAGATACCTTTATATTAAAAGTGAACTTTAAAGAGAAACTCTAGGTATAGAAAGATCACTGTTTATTCCAATGTGTATTCCTTTAAATATGAGGTATACAATTTT